ACACACACACACACACACACACACACACACACACACACACACACACAAGGAATCTCTGCAGGAAGGGCTTAGGGGGACTTGTCTTGGAGTTGTGTCTGTAAGGCAGTTACCAAATTTTTACTTGAACTATATGCTGTAACATGATTTTTTTTTTAAAGTCAAATTTTCTAAAGATGCCTTTATCCTCACTTGCTGTCTTTGCCATACCTGCAGAAGTTATTTATCTTTATCTATTTGGGGATGTTTGGGGAAGCTGGTGAAGATCAGGGGAAGGGGATACAAAGCCCCCTCCCATGTCTTGGTGTAGCCACAACAGAAGGGCCCGCAGAAGTGCCTTCCTTCTCATGTCACAGAAACACTCTGCAGAATGGACCCTTGTCTTCCCTCTATCTCTGCAACCAGGCTCAAAAGTGTCCCCTGCCAGGTTGATGTGAGGCCCTGGCTGTCACTCAGAGCCTTGCTCTCTTCTCCACGCAAAGGTCATAACCCTAACCTACCCTCCTCCAGGCACATAAGGGAAACAAGTAAGAAAATGAAAGTGTGTGCAGGGTGGGGGGTCCAAGGTCCCTGTCCCAGATATGCCTCATACCCCAAGAGTCACAGAGCCCCTCAAGCCACGGCCTTCTGGCTTCCTAGCAACCATCTGGAGCAGGGGATGGGGCCAGCTCCCCACCTCCTGGGAGGCTGCTGGACACGAAGGCCCGCATGCACACGAGTCTACAACACTTCACCTCTCTGAGCCTGGTCTGAGGATGCCCACGGCGGGGTTGCTGCTGGGAGCAGAAGAAGCCCACGAAGGAGAGGGGCTCTTTGCCAGCACTTGGGGGCTCAAAATGCCCACCCCTGTTGTTCTGGGTGGTGGTCTTATTATTCTTGGTTCTCCTTTTCCTCTAGGGATCCCTGGCAGGACCTCATCAACCAAGAAATCAGGGTGGCATTCGCCAAAGCGCGCCAGAGCGTGGCCAGGCCTAGGAGCTCGGGGAAGGCCTCACTGGGCCCTGAGAAGGGGAACAGAGCGGAGCAGGGGCCTGTGCCAGCCCGGAAGGTCTCGTGCCTAGATATTCCCAAACCCTCTCTTTGCTCCAGTCCCCACAAAGAATTCCCTTGCTGAGCGACCTGGCAGCCAACAGGGTACTCATTACTAAGTGCCCTAGAGCGATATTAATTGATGCATTCCAGTATGAATCCTGTGGGTAAACTTGCCCCTTGACACAAAAACAATAAAAATAGAAATATTCCCTCCCTTTCACGCAGTGCTTTGTTCCTGACAAATCGTTTGGACTCTGAGAGCTTGTTATCATAGAGCTTATTATTCCTCACATCCACAACACTGTTCCCACTGTATGGCTGAAGTGCCTGGGCCCAGAGGCAGGAGCCTATGTGCCCCCAGTGGCACAGCTGTCACAGGGAAAAGCATGACGGGGACCAGGAGCTAGAGCCAGGCAGACGAGGGCCCCCGATTTAGAGGGACTACCTCCTGACGTCACCTCACGTCTCCAAGACTGTCATTTCTAAAATGGGTGTTGACGAGGCCCATGTAAGCCCTGTTCCTGAAACACTGTAAGTATGCTGCCTCCTTCCCTGCCTCTCCTGCTCTAACCAGCCTCACCTTCTGGGTGTCTGTGAGCACTGTGCGGGGAGTCCAGGTTCGCGGGCTCCCAGAATCTCAGGGGAAGGAAGGGTAGCGGAGTGATAATTCCTTAGTTCTTAGGAAAATGAGACTTCTGTCTTACTGGGGGGAGGGGGGAGGCGGGGAACAAACAAATCCACAACCCACTCATTAAATTGGCTTCTAACATCAAAGAGTGCTCACCAAAGCCCCCGGGGCTGATTTCAGAGCAGGCGGACAGAAGCAGGTGGAATTCATTTCCCTGACTAAGGGCAGAGGGCCAGGGGCCAGGGGGCAGGTTCAGCCCTAAACAAACTTGTCCTTCTTCAAAAGACCCCTAGGGAAAAAGACCTGGCACTACATGGAACTGGGGGTCGTTGGAAAAATGTGCCGGTGGGGGGTGCGCTCACAGAAGCTAGGCTGCGTGCGCGTGCGTGCGTGTGTGTGTGTGTGTGTATGGACACGCGCCTGCACCGGAGCACGAGAGAGGAAATGTGAGAGGCTCATGGATGATGTGTGTTAGGAGCCACAAACAGCTGTGTGGTGGAAAGTGCTAGACTCAGCTTTGGGGGACGCCCCTGCCGTTCCTGACCTTGCATGACTTTGGGCCTAACCTTTTTACTCCCGAGTTTCTGGAAATGCAGAACGGGGCCGGTCACCCTCAGCTCCCTTGTGAGAGAGCTCTGTGGAGACAGCACATGTGGCTGAGCGGGGCGGCAGAGGTGTTGAGGAGGGAGGAGCTGCACGTGCCCAGGAGCGGGACCCACCATGGCTTTGTGGCTGCCCACATCTGTGACTGTGGTGTAGCCAAGGGGGTGGCGGGGACAGCAGCGTGGCCCTGCTTCCTCCACTGCACTCTGTTCTGCTCGTGGATTTTCTCTCCTCATCTGTAGAAGGGATGTAGGTGTCTTCGAGGTCCCTCTGGGTGTGAGGCTTTGTGCACAGTGAGTCTCTGTGAGCACCCATGGAGGAAATGGAGACCAGTGTGGTGGGCAGACCCAGGAGACCAGAATTCAAAGCAAGAGCCAGCTTTCCAATGGCATCCCAGACCCCAGTCTCTCGGTGCTCTGGGCTCCTCACCGTACAGCAGGGACCAGGCCCCTGCCCTGCCTGCCTTATGGGGATGCCATTGGGTCAAAGGTGGCAATAGCTGTGAACACACGCTGTCACCTGAGGGGCGCACCCGTGTGTGAACAGAGCTGTGTGGCTCTGTGTACATTATGTGGATGTCGGGGGTGAAAGGGCTCTGAGCAGGCGAGCGACGCGTCTGCATGTGTGTGCCCGTCGGTGAATGTGTGCGTGTTGTCAGGGCGCGCGTATGTGCATTTATGCAGACGCACGTGTGCATTTGTATATCTGTGGGCCTCGGGGGGTCTGCACATGCACTGCTTTAGCTGTGTATGTTATGTGTCCACATGTGTCTGTGTCTGGGAGCAGCACCAGATCTCCATATATTCATGCATTTAAGGTGTGTGTCCAAGTGCACGCCTTGTACGTGTGTGGGTTATATGTCAGACGGTGCCTGGATCCAGCCATGGTCTCCTTGCTCTTGGGCCCCCGGAATGGTGGTGTGAGGACAGTAGGCCTTGTCCTTCTGGCCACCCTCTGAGCTACCCATGTTGAGAAGGGCCGAGGCAGCTCTGTTCTCAGAGGTCCCTCTCTCAGACCCTCCAGTGCAGAACCTGGGGACTCCAGGAGGCAACTCTTGTCTCCAAGGCTGACATACTGCATATGAATAGATGCCCCCCCACCCTCCACCGGGGTACTCGCCTTTCCCCAACCTTCCCTCATCAGCTGGGGATGCCATCGCTGAGTACAAAGGCCAGCGCCGCCTGACTCCTGGATTGTGCCTCTGCCCCGGGGCTGGGCTGGTTTCCTCCGTGCTGGGAGACATTCAGGCTTACCTGTTCTGCACGTACCACTACCGGCCCTGTGCCTGGAGCTTCCATGTACATTGTCTCAACCACAACACTCACGAAGATAGGAGTTAATTGCCCTCCTCCCTGGATGAGGAGACAGAGGCTCAGAGGGGTGAAGTGATTGTCCATGCCTCTGTCTTCTGATAGGAGGTGGTTACACAGTGTGACAAAGGCCCAGAGAAATAGCAGTGGTCCCTGGAAAACTCGAAAGGGGGCAGCCGCAGGGGGCACACAGCTCTTCTGTGAATGGCGGGTGAGGACAGAACCTTCCAGCTGAGGCTGAGGAGGCTTTGAGGAGCTCACACTTCTCTCATGAGGAGCCAGCCTGGCATTTGCATGGGGCTTCCTTGAATCCGTCCTGGTAGAACCCCAGAGATGGGGCCCCAAGTCATGACTTTCATGGTGAGTCAGTGCTAGCTGGTCCCTGTGAAGTCCCCCACCTTTGCCATTACCCTGGTGCCTTGGTTGGTTTCTAGCAACAGAACATTCTTGGCCCGTCTAAGGAGTGGAGTACTCATGATGGCAGACAGAACCACAGGGCTCCAGAAGGTCGTTGCCGGGCCTGGTGATCTGGAAGTGTTTGGTGTATGGTTCTTCAGGCAGGCACAGTGTAGGATGGACTCCCTGGGAAAGCCAAATGCTCTAGCCTGGCCTTCTTCTACTCACGCTGGCTTCACCCCATCTGCGCCCTTCCACTCAACATTCTGGTCATGACAGACTGCTCTTCCCCAAACCCTGAATGATGCCACATCTTAGTCTTGCCGTTTTCTCTACCTACACTTCTTTCTCCTTTTACCCACATTTGGCGAACTCCCAAACACCATTCAAAGCCCACCTAGAAACCACCTCCTCCTGAAACCCTTTCTCAAACCACCCCCTATATGTAATCAGTAATTGCATGTCTAACCCTCACTTGATGGCAGGAGCTGTGTTTAGTTCATTCCTTTAGCCCAATGCCCAGAAGGAGGTGTGCAGTGGGAAACTGAATGGATGAACTGACAAACTAAAGAACTAGCTAGCCCACAGTTTTCCAGTGAACAGTCTCCCCTCCGCAATGCCAGTTCCTGAGCTCTCCTGCCTAGTTTCTCCTCTGCTCTTCTCTGTGTTGGGCTTGCTTAGTCAAATGCTGAGCTGGGACCCTGCACGCCAGGTATGGGCAGTGTGTCAGCCCATGGCTTCCCTTGGCTGCCCTGTCTCTCCTCACCACCACCCCTCCTGCGGCTACGGGTGCTCTCACCTCCACCCCAGCACTAGCGTGGGTAGTCTTCCCTAGCCCCTTGCTTCCCACCCCATCTGGCCAACTCCTCCTCACCCTCCACACCTCTGTTCCTCTGCTGCCTCCTCCAGGAAGCCTTCCCTGAAATCCTTGCTTCACCCCTGCATACTGCACGAGGGGCACCTCCTCTGGTCCCCAGCCGCCCAGCCCCCTTGTCCCGCCCTGTCCCTGCAGACTCGGGGCTTCCTAATGGCAGGGCTGGGTCTAAGCCCCCTTTCTGTGACCCCAGTAGGGGAAGAACTACAATAGGGCAGGGGAGGTAGAGGAGGCCACTATGGTGGCAGGTGAACCTCACTTTGAGGAAATCCACCTGCACAAAGATCCAGGTTTGCTCAAAGACTGTTTGAGCTGAGTCTACGCTCTTCTGGGGGGGCGGGGGCTGAAGTGACATAGAGCAGGACAAAAGGGCCACACGTTACTGAACATGTGGTGTGTGTGTTGTCTCACAGAGCCGGTCTTGTAGCCCTAGGCAGGGGGTGTCATCATCCCCACCGCCGCTGTGTTTACCTGGGGCTGTGGGACGTCAAAGCCTGGGGTCTTTCCGGAGGGCCAGCGATGCCCCTCTTGTCCCAGCTCCAGCCCTGGACTCACACAAGCCATTCCTGCTGGGAACTTCAGTCTTCCCACTGGGCTGTGGGCAGGGTGGACTGAATCTTCAAGGTCCCTTTCCAGTTTCAGGGAGTCCTTGAGACTCTTTCAGAAGTCCACTAGGGGGCAGGCAAGCTGTTCCAGAGAGAAGCAGGAGCCCCTCGGGCCACCCCAGGATTCCCTGCCCCTCCCCAGCCCCAGGCTCCAGGGGCTGACTGTCCAGCCAGAAAAGGAGGTGGGGCCCCACCTCACAGAGGAGTCCTGCTGGGGGCTCTCTCTGATGAGTGAAGAACAATGAGAGGACAGCAGGTCTCAGTGTCCTTTCCCCGTCTAAAAAGCCTGGTCCAAGTTGGCTATGTCAGAGTTTTGTCCAGTCTCCAGAAATTTGCACTCCTATTGAATAACACCCAGGTGACATTCACATGGCCCCCCATACCTTTCCCTGGGAGGCAGGTGTTGTGGTCCCCATGCATGGGCAGGAGAATGAAGCTCTTGTTGGCAGTTCTCTTCCATCGCTGACTTAGATCTCCTTCTGGGCTCCAGGCCCAACATCTGGCTGCCTGCTGGGCATCCCCCCAGTAAGCCACAGATCACCTGACTGTGCTCTGCCTGGTCACCTGGTCAGAAGCAGGAGTGATCACCCCCCCTCCCCTGTCGTTCCCATGACTCTCTCCCCAACCACCATCCCCACCATCAGTCCCCAAGTCCGTCCCACCCACTACACCAGCCTCTGCCTTTGTCCAGGCCCCACTACTGAGGTCCTCGGTGATGGCATCGACCTCCGGGCCACTCTCCTGCCTCCATTCCCCATTGGCCCACGCCATTCCCGGTCTACCTGCAGCACAGACCTTGCCGTGTCACCTTCCTACCTAGCATGTTCCCACAAGGTGCCCACCCTACACCCACACCAGAGCTCTTCACCAGGGAGCTCCTGCCGATGGACCCTTCCCACTGACTCCTCTGGCACCCAGCCCTTTCCTTGCTTAGCCCCATCTTGTCCTCTCAAATTGCTCAGACCCTCCCACTCAGCTCAAACCTACAGGACTGCTATTATGAGGCATTCTTATTAGTAGTTTTAATAACCCCCTAATATCTGGACTCAGTGGCCTGGAGGCTGGGTGACCATGGTGTCCAAGTCCCAAATCCTAGCTTGAGGAACATCACAATATCCACTGGGCCCACCTCCCAATTGTCATCAGGTGCATGGCCCTGATGGGGAAAGATAGGCTGTGGGGGCAGTCTGTGTTTTCCCTCTGTGTCCACCTGGAGCCCACAAGCAGCGCTTTGACTTAGCCCTAAAACCAGACCCAACTTCCCAGTGCATCGTGAGAAGTGGAGAGTTTGCTGGAGATCTCCCGGGAGCCAGAGAAGAGATCACATCACTGCGTCATATAGGTGGACTTTGTGGACCCCTCCCAGCCCCTCAGGTCTCCCTCCAGCCCCCTCCCTCGCAGAGCCACCGCCCCTCCTTTCCCCCATGTCCCCCTCGCCTCCCAAGCACCTATGTTCTATGGTCCCAAAGCAACCAGCACCCAGCCTCTGCATCCTGCTTCATTGGTAGCTGCCCGAAGAGCAATTGATACAATTGATCAAAGGCCCCAGGAGCCTTTTAAAGGGCCGAATCAGGCTCACCTGCCTGTGGGGAGCCCATAGGAGGGTCTTCATCCCACTGAAAAGAAGGAACCGGTATGGACGGAATACCTGCGCTTTAAGCGTCGCCACGATCATGCCAGGTAGACATTATTCTCCCCTTATTTTCGATGAAGCTCTTGAGACTCAGTCCAAGGTTACCCAGCAAGCCAGGGGCAGAGCCAGACCTCGACTCCAAAGCCCCCACCACGTGCGCCACCCTACCTGCCTTGTTGGCCACGGCTGCACACTACATGGAAAAAGCCGACGCGGACGCGGTGACGGCCTCACCCGCCAGTGACAGGGTGGGACCAGCCAAAGGAAATGGGATGAGCTCTGGGGTGAGGTCCAGAGGAGCAGGAAGGTGAGGCTGGGCCCCGGGTGAAGCCAAGACCAGCAGCCAGCTGTCCGGATGGCGGGTGGGGATGCTGAGCGGGCAGACATCAGAGTGTGTTGCGGACAGAGGTCAAAGTCTGTGTCTGCAGTGTAGTGGGGCGGTGGGAGAACGGAAGAGCGAGGGCGCCAATGGATTCTGGCCATCCAGAAGCCTTTGCGGGGCCTTCCAGGCACTGGGCAAGATGTCTTCAAGGCAGGCAACCCTAGGGAGGGTGGTCCTCTGGTGACTCTAAACGTAGAGAGGGACAGAGACAGAAGGGGGAGGTGGCGGTGGGGAAGAGCAGGAGAGAATGGGGGGCAGGGAGAGTGGGAGTGTGGCAGAGATCACTGAGCACAGTTGGGCGACAGCAGGAAAGGAGCTGCTGGAGGATGTATGTGGGTGCGTGATATGGAATCTGGTCCCTGTGAGTAGTGAAAGAGACAGGAAAATGGGAAATGTGACATGGGCTTGGACCCCCAGGGCCATCAAAGTGTTTTAAGCTGGGAGTGACCTGGTCAAATTTGTGTTTTGAAGAGACTCCATCTGGCCGCCACGTGGAGGATGAATGGCTGGATGGATGAACCGGAAAGGGAGACCCCGGGGCAGGAAGGTCTCCTGCAGGGAGGGCGAGGAGAGGAACAAGCAGGCCGAATGCAGAGGGAGACCCAGGAGCTTCCACATTTAAAGAGCAGATGGAGGAGGAGGAGGAGGAAGAAGAGGGGCCAGAGAAGGATCCGGGAGGAGGTGCTGGAGAGGTGACATTAGAGCCAGGGAGGGCGTCACAGGGTGGGTGCCAAGGGGAGAGGGCGATTCGGGAAGGAGGGAGTGGGCAGCTGTGAAGCAGCCAAGTGACCAAGGGACTGAGGAAGCTGGCGATGAGCTGGTTGACTGAGGAGACTGGAGACAAGTGGAGGAAGAAGGGAGACATGTGGTGGGTGGGGGGGGGTTGGAAGCGGGGGATGGACACAGCAAGGGCAGGTCTTGCCTGGAGACAAAGGGACGGGGCAGTAGCTGGAGGGGATGTGGGTCGGCCTGGGAGGGGTTTGGGAAATAGGGGAGTGTCCACGCTGAGGGGAGAGGCTGCAGGGAGAGGGGCTGCCGGGTCTCCTGAGAGATGACCTCTGCCAGCGGGAAGCAGAGCCCGGCCCCCAGGACGCCAGGCGGGCCCTGATGCGAGCAGCAGGGAGGGCGGTTTCGGGGGTCTGGATCAGGCCTCAAACCCAGCTCTCCTGCCGCCAGCATACAGAGGAGAGGGAGAGCAAGCAGGCAGAAGTCACACGGCCCAGGAGAGGCCAGAGAACAGCAGTCTGTAAGGCTGAATACCCATTCCCAAGCTTCCAGACCTAGTGAGAGGGGCTGGCTTTGGGGACAGGGCCAGGCAGCCAGTGCTTAGGAGACAGGATCCAGCCCTCTGCCTCCTGCAGCCCCAGCCTGGCCTCTAAGCTCCCGGGCTCCTGAGCTCCCAGCATGCCATCGGGATGAAGCACAGGCTCCCTGGGAGGCCACAGCAGTCTGTCAAGCTGTGTCCTTTCCCTTCTTCCCTTTCACACCCCAGGAAATCAGCCACTCAGCTCGTGTATGACCTGCTTTGGAGAAAATTGGAGTCACAAGCAATGTGAGGTCACAGCCTAGTTCCCATAGGCATGTGCACATGTGTCTATGTGTGTGCACTGGGTCTGGGAGCCTGGGGATTTTAAGTCTTTGCTGTGTATATGGGATAGAAGTGTGTTTGTGGGCAACGTATGTGGTGTGTTTGTGACTGGTGTTTGCACAGGATACATATATATATATATATATATATATATATATATATATATATATATATA